CCCCAAAACCCCAAAACCCCAAAACCCCTTAAAGCTAGATCATAATTTAAAAAGGTAATGAGATTTTAACTATTATCAATTATATTCTAATTGAAGAGATTATAATCTTAAAGTATTCCTTTTATACTATTGAGACCAATTTTCGAAGTTAAGCAATGGAAAATAGGTATTTTTTTAATTTATTTTTTACTTTTCACTTTGTTTAGTGGAATTCAAATTGATTAAGATCAGTATTATGAGCCATTCTTAGAAGAATTAGATGATGAGGAGCAAAATCTCAACTAAGAACAAATAAATAGTAATGAAGTGAGGCCAAACTTGATGAATAATCATCAGGCTCAGCCAATTTTGAATCAGCAATAATAAATAGATGACGATGACAACCCTGAGCAGGAGCATTGGTTGGGTTCGCATTTGATCATCAAAGAAGTAATTTGTGATATCTAGAAATATCCTTGTGATGCGCTGATTACTTTCTCAGATTCAGATATTTTTCCTGAGATTGGGGAGAATCCAGACTTGATTTCCGAGTTCTTGTTTGAAATTGAAGAGGAAGAAAAGGAAATTTGCCACAAATTCAGCTATATTTGCTCAGTCCCTAAGTACAATTTAAGCATTTAGATTGCTGCGCATATTACAGAGCTTATTCAGAAATGCATAATTTCTGCAAATGAGAAAGACTTAAAGAATCTATCAATTGATTTGAGCAGCCTCAATGAACTTAGCTTCAGCAAAAACTCATTCTTAGAGTAAAAAAGAATACTAGAAGAAATTATAACAATGCTGTAGAACAATATAATCTTGTATTCGAAAGAGTTTGATTCATAATAATTTTGTGTAAAGGAAATAAGATTTCTATTTGAATAAAGAGATAAAATAGAATTAGCTGTTTTCATTAATTGCTTTATGAAAACAATCCACCATTACATATTAGAAGAAAGAAATAGATTCAAGAATCAAAAGCTTTCTCAACCTGCATTAACTTCTCATTTTATCGAGAAGAAGAATTTGAAAATAGAGGCATTAATGTAGCATATTCAGAAATCCGAATAATTAATGATTAAAAGGATGATTAAAAGTTAACCAAAAAGTATTTAAAGTATTATACAAGATAAAATTGGATTAAATAAAGACATTCCTCAAAATTTATTAAATAGTGTTGATCAGGAGGAAAATGATATTCGAGAAAATTAATTTTAAAATTAAGTGGAAGATGACGGCTTAAATAAAGTTAAAGAAAATCCAAACATTTAAAATGTTTTCCAATATATGGGAAATTCCCTTTAGAATGAAATTGGCTTTCTTATTCAAAATTAAGATAAATTCAGCATTTAAGATGCTTTTAGCTTTTTATTAAATTCAAGTGCTTTGAAAAATATTTTGAAAGTAGATGATGATGATGATGAAGACTGTAAAAATATTGTTTAAGCTTAAATATCTAATGCTTAGAGATAAATTGATGATTTAGCAAAGATTGAGGGAGATTAAGCAAAATTAGTTTAATTTAGAGCTTAATTAGCTAATGATTTTTCTCCAGATTTTCTTAAAAATTTACCTTATATAATTGGCAGAATGGGAGTAAGTGAAGATTAGAATTATAATATTGAAGAGTAGAAGGAGATAGATAGAAGTTCTAGCAATTTATCATCAGCAGTGTAATAATAACTTGATTAATTCATGAGTATTACTTACGAAGAAAAGAAATTTAAATATTAGGAGATCTGCAAGCACTGCTAATTCCCGTTTAAAACCAATGATAAAGTTTATATTCTTCCATCAGATGATAAATTTCATGATGTTTGCATTGAGAAAAGATTAAATGATTAGCTTTAAAACTTAAAACTGCAAAATTGAAAAGAATATCAGGCTATCTTTATATAAGTTATGATTTTATTAAAAAAAATATAAATTTGTTAAATTCATGATTGATTCTTGATTAGGGGTTTTGGGGTTTTGGGG